TGGAATTTTAACCTGCATTTTTAAAGGGTCTTTTTCTGCTAGATCCTGATTATACAGACAGTACTTCCCTGGCACGTTCCCACTTGTAATTGCCTCTGGTGCAGTTTGTACTGTAGTTTAGATAGGGACTGTTTCTGCCATTGTACTGCAACTTAAAAATCAGCATGAATCAGAGTGGACAGAAGTATGATTTGGTTTTTTTCCCTGTCAGTGAAAATACAGAATACATACAGAATGTGCTTTAATCACTATTTGAATCCAGAATATATATATTTTTTTCTCTCCCTATAGTAATGTTAGAAGCACATATGGTACAAGTATAGTTATACAAAAATAGCTTTGGGTTTTAATTGCATCTTGCCTTTATTTCACACAACTTATTAAGGGCCGGATCCTGTGCCCATTGAAACCAATGGAAAAGCTTCTGTGGACTTCAGTAAGGATTTGGCTAAACAAGTTTTCTCTGTATATTCAGGAATCATTTCTCCCATTACTAAACTGCAACCGCTTCTGGGTTAGAATGATCAGGTCTTAAAGGACACACAAATCTCTCACCAAACCACAGAATCCTCATTATAAACAAAGGAACTTCCTTAGTCCTCATGTCTTTATTGATCACATTTTGTATGTAATCAAAGTCTAATGGTAAGTTTTCTGTGTGGCTCATCTCTCTGTCCCTTTCCTTTTCAGGTTCTACATTGAGAGCATTTCTTATTTAAAGGATAATGCCACCATTGAGTTGTTTTTCTTGAATGCAAAGTCCTGTATTTACAAGGTAAGGACTCCTTTGAATTAAGGAAGGGACTGGGGGATTCAGAAAAACTGGGGTACTCATCTGGACATGGGGTTTTCCATTTGCCCATAAGTAGGAATGCTGCTATAGATAATCCGCTTCCATTACTGGTGATTCCGGTTGTAATGAAATAAATGCCCACAGCACTTCTAAAGAAATAAGAGAGTTCATGTGACTAAGAGAGGCTGGATGGGGGTGACCTTGCATTACTAGCCTTCCAACAGTCTCCTGGTCTATTTACTCTGCCTTCTGTGGATTGTCTCACCATGCTTATACCGTATCCCAGCCCTTTCCAGAGCACCCTCATACGTGATCTTTCATCTATGATCTGCCATTTGTTTTATCTGTTTTGTGTACTGCATGGTGGGTAATAACAAGAGAGGACTCCATGCTTGTAAAACTAAAGTGGCACTTTATTCAGGGAACTATTACAGAAGCGCTGCAATTGCCGCTAGCATTCCAGCCCTTTGCACACAGACTAACTTCCGTTCCTGGTGCCTCCTCCAAACTCTTCCCTCTTGCAACCTGTGCTCCTCGCTCCATGTTCCATTCAGGTTGCTACAGTATCTGTCGTAAACTGAAGGCTTGATTGTCCTCTCCCTTACAGGGTGGAAAATAATAAGTAACTTCCTTGAATGGAGTTACGCCAGTGTGAAAGGTGAATCAAGCACCATGTCCCTAGGGAACAAAAGAGCCTCTTAAAAGAATAACCCTAGCACAAATTGAGTGGTGCAGGTATATCATGTACACAGCTGTGCAGGTACATCATGCACAGAGCTCACGTTTCTGTTGTGAGTGCTGGACGGCCAGTTGTGTGATGGTGCATATAGATCTACCTGGCCTACACACTCCTGTCCTGGCCCCCCATCTCCCCTCATGCAATGTCTAGCCTTTGGAGTTCTCTGTGGGTTCCTGAGGCAGGGGCAGCTGACTAGCCTGCCCCATGTAGAGGACACCCTCAATACTGAACATAGCGCACACCATCAGGCTCTGTGTACTTCACACTTGTGTCACCCACCGGTCAGTACGTGCTACACATCCCCCTTTGTGCCCCATTCACAGAGATGAGTGTGTTACAGCTCATGGCTTGAAGAGCCTGGATCTTTAGTTCAAGCTTTGGAGTCTGATGCTTTTAGCACTCCAAGGTCCCTAGTGTTGGAACAAATAGTGACCGCCCCATTTGTACAGCAGCTTTCGTGTGAGGTTGTCAAGGTGCTTTATAGATATTAATTATCTCAGAGGTAGATTGTTATCATCTTCAATTTACAAGTGGGGAACTGAGGCACAGAGAGATTGAGTAACTTGCCCAGGTCACATAGGAAGTGTGCGGCAGATTAGATCCACCCAGATTCCCTGAGCACAGGCCGTAGGAGACAGATGAGGGCTTGAACCAATGATTGGATACCAAGAATTCCTCTTGAGTTGTAATCACCACTGTGACAATGCCTATCTCTGTAGCCATGGACAAGTCACCTTGCCCCTCTGCCTTCTTCTCGGCAGCCATAAAATAGGGGTAATACTTGATCAGACATACCTACCTCTAATCTGGATAGTGCTAGTTCTTGCAGCACATCCATTCCTTTTATATCTGTCCGAGTGCCTCTCACCAGAGTGCTGTGATGCTAAATAATTCTGTTTGTAAAGTGCTTTGAAGATGTTGCTGTTTCAGTTTCCCAGACAATGTGGGAGTGTTCACATCCAAACAAAAACATCTTGGACTGAAAAAGAAAAGTTGTAAAATATTTCCACTGACACATTTAATTTCCACCTCAATCCCCAACCTCCCACTTCAGTCGTCCATCCCCTCCATGCTCCCTGCCTTTCTTTTTCTCACCGGACCTACATTTTTATGGCCTAGCCTACTCGAGAGTCCCTTCCTCAGAATCTGTTAGAGGTAAAGAAAAAAAAACCATCCTGAAAATAAATTGAATCAAATTGTGCCAGAGGCAGATGTGAGCTTGAAACTGAAAGTCTAACCCAGCGAGTGTTTAAAAAAAAAGTTTTGCATAAAGAATAGAAACGAGTGGATATTGCAGGTTACCCCAGCAGTGGTAGTGAGAGGAATCCACCAGAAGAGGGTGCCCTTGTAACTAAAGTCAATGTTACGATCAGGAACAGCTTCCCCTGCGCATTTTGGGGGGAGGGAGGAGAGGAGTGAAACCAGTACACGGGGAAATGTTTTTGTGCCAAAAATAATCTGGCCTTAAGGACTATTGAAAAAACACCAGCCTGTTGTCACTAGTTACTGAAAACAAATCTAGTCCTTGCGCAGAATTGAGTGTGAGATAGATAAGCGGCTTCCTCGCTCAGAACTCAAATGTGTTGAGATGAGTTAAGCACTGCCCAGAGGCAGTGAGTTGCTTTCTCATATGTGGCCAAGAAAATTGTCTTGTAAAAGAGAAAAGGGGGCAGCTGTGAGTCATCTGATTACCCTGAGAGTCCTGGTGTAATATGTGCTTGGAGTGGCAGGGGGCTGGACCTGCAGATTCCCAGGGATCTACGCAGCTCTTGGGGGATCAGGGCCATCTGTGCAAAGACCTTGTTCCTCCACACAGCTCCTGGAGCTCCATCACACATCCTTCACCCCCCTGGCATCTTGAGCTGAACCTGGAGAGCCCTGCTTGGACGCTGGTTGCTCTAAGAGGCTGTGAGGGGGGCCCTGGTGGATGTCTCTAGTCTGGGAATTGCTGGGAGGCTGGGCCCTTGTCTGGAACTATTCCCTGTCCACCCCACCTCTTCGCTGGCTGAAACCATCCCTAGTGACTCACCTCCCATCTGCCAGAGAGGGAACAGCAGCTGGAGAAAGTTGAGAGGGATTAGGATCTGAGAACAAGGGTATTATGCTTGTCCCAATGCTCCAAGCAGGAAAGGGACTTGTTCAGTAAGAAACATTACACAGGTTTTTGGCTCCAGTTCACAACAGCATACCCCACAGTGCCATGTCCTAATCCTTACTAGCAGTAGTCCCTTTGACTTCAATAGGTCACAATTGGTCGCTCAGATTTCATGTGTGCAGAGCAGGTGCTTAGCTGCCAACTCCCTGACTCTAGACATACCTGTACATTTACGTGCTCAACTGTGCAAACGTAGAAGCAACGTTGAGTAATATGGTTGAGAGAGGGTTGTTTTGTGGTGAAGGCACCAACCTGGAATTCTGGAGATCTGGGTTCAAATCCTGCCTCTGCCACAGCTTCCGGTGTGACCATGTCTGTGCCTCATTCCTTCCCCCTGTGAAATGGGGAGAGTAACTGTCCTTCCTCCCACCCTTTGTCTGCCTTGTCAGTTAGGGTGTAAGCTCTTTCCAGCCAGAGCTGCTTGCAGCACCTGGCACGATGCGATCCCGATCTTGGCTGGGGCCTCTCGGTGGGACCGCAATACAAGTAATGCAACCTTCCATCTAAGTTGGATGCTCTGGTGTCACAAAGCGCAGCCCAGCTGTCATTCCCCAAAGGCAGATGGAATCCAGGGGGCGGATGGAGAATGCCAACCAAAATGCCCTTCGTTTG